TACTTTTAACTGCATAGTTTAAAGTATCAAGATTGTCGTTAAACATCCCAGGTGTTTCAACTCGTACTTGGCTCAATAGATTGTTTGAAAACAATTTATAAACTGGTATTACAATACTTTGGTGTAATAGAATCTGTATAATAAATATCGCTTATTTAGGGTGCTTTTTCTTCCTGGCAATTTCACAGCTATACCCAGAGTCTGCCTTACATGTTGTGAATAGTTTTGGCTATATGTTTTTACGACCTGCCTGACATCAAGCCTATTTTGGGAATGCAATAATCAGTGATGTCTCAATATTCTTAGAAAGTACATATGATTTTGAAAAATCACATTGTTACTTGCCAAGATCGAACCCGCGCCTTCATGAGAGGCGGGCCTTTTAACCACTAGGCCACCACTGACTTTATATACATACATATGTTTAGTGTTCTTTTCATCTGATTATTCATATTAGAACGCAATATAATTATATAAATTCTAGTTATACAAAATAAATCATTAATTTAATGTTATCATGTTATCATGTTTCATCAAATAATAATTAAATTCATACGTAAACATAATACTTTTAGTATATCAATATATTATATAATTACTAGTAGAATAGTTTTTAACTAAAACAAGACAAATATTTATTAACTAACTTTCTAAAATCTTCACATTGCTAATTATATCATCTGGCTTTGCTCGCGTTTAAAGTCTTAAAGTTAGTTCGTGATGTTAAAATAAATATCACGTTAAATTTTAAGCATTTTTTAACCAAACTAAATATGTATACAAAGATTTATCTTATTCGATTATATACATATATTTCGAAATTAATTTGCAAGATTTTACACGAGATCTAACCACTTACACACAGATACATATATATACATATATACTAGAAGACCCGGCGAACTTCGTATCGCCCTATAATCAAGAAATATCTGTTACGTTTTTTTATTTATATTTTTGGAGTTTACCCATTAAAGCCATAAATATCCGTGTTTTGAAGTGCGACAGAATGGTATATAAAAGTTATATTAAATTTATTTTTCTTTAGTATATATAAAGATAAGAAATCTTTATATTATAATATGTTTCAGTAACATTCAACATGTTGATTGTATCAGAGCCCCTCCAGCTTCTTATTGAAGAGTCACGTGGGAGACTATTATTCAATTGATTCTGTCAAATACAATTCTTCATCAATTGACAATCAGAATGATATGATACATGCCCTGTAGCGCGGTTCTGTCCGTTAAAAATGATTTAGATACGTAATTTATTTCATTAATAAATATACTTCAATATAAATGAAATATCCCAAAAAATGTATATTGAACGTTTATTAGTACAAGTGATAATTAATCTTATTTATAATTATATTTAAAGTAGACTCAGTCTATATCTACATGTATCTACCCATATCTACATTTATCTATATTCAGAAACAATACAATAACCATTAAATGTATTTTTAATGTTCATAAAAATAACGTTAAAATTATCAGGCATTGAACAAAAATATCCACATGAGAAATATGAAACAATAAAAGCTTTTATTACTATACAAATATATATATATATATATAACTTGGTTATTATCTATCATTAAACAAACATACATACACAGCACTATGAACACAATCGGCTAATGATAAAATTGTACTAGCCACTGCTTAATGAAAGGTGCTCACAATATTAACCGACCTAGAAAAGGGAGTGTTGTGTCTTTCTTTGTATGTTCGTTGATATGTTTTCGATTATCCAAGAATGGGGGTGGGTTTGGATTAAAGGCTTCTGATATTAATTTTTGGCATATATGAATATACAACTTATAATTTTATATTGTGCTACATCCACTGTCTCAATTAATGTATATATCTGTGAATCTAAATAATTATTTGAAAGAACGAATCAAAGCCTAAAAATTCTCTTAAATTGAACGATCATTACGTTTACCATATTGTCTTTTCCCCCTCAAAATATACAGTGTCATTGACCCCTCGTTACAAAATATCTAACAATTATGTTATTTTTTTGTGAACATTATTTTAATGGCCTGTGAATAGAACATGTGTTGCTGTTTCAATAATTACAATTTTCTAATGTTTATTTAGAAACGAACTATAATAATAAAAAAAAATGAGATTAAAAGAAATCTTTGTAATTATTTTAAATTGTATGTATTTTAAAACGAATACTATAATTATTTTTTCCAACATAAAAACAAACTTATTTTGTTCAAAATATAAAACTGCAAACGGGTAAACAACTTCGCGCCAAAACCTACGCCGCGTAATGACGTAAACAAGAGGCCATATCGACTTTTGGTTGGTAACCATGATTTTGACTTTAAATGGATTTTATTTAAATGTGATTAAATCTGAGACTTTGGCGAGTTTTATTAATTTAAATGAAACTAACATTTTTCGGATGTTTATACGTGCTTTATTTTTGTTAAAAACTACATACTCCCGAAGATTCATTTACTTTACAGCAACCGTAATCACAGGCAGACGAGATGTGAATGTCTGTCCTAAGAGGAAAAGTAGCCGAATCGTCGGAATTATGTAGTTTTCTACAAAAATAAAGGACGCGTTGTATATCGTTAAAACATTAGTTTCATTTAAATTTGATATATATGTTTTATTTTATTTAATAAAACACTATAAAAGTAATAACGGGACAGTCCCTTTATAAGCAAAAATCATGGTGTCCCTAACATAATGGACCCCCGGTGAAAAACATTTCCAAGTGTTTTGGGGCATTAGACTCTATTAATTAGTTTATATTTTTTGTGTTTTCTTAGTTTTAAATTACTTGTATTACCTTACAATTTTTAAAAGTTTTTATTTATAGTATTATAAATGATTATAAACGTTAATGTGGTGAAAGTCGCGTTTGATAAATATGTATATATAAAAGAAAGTCGTGTTAGTTACACTATTTATAACTCAAGAACGGCTGTACAGATATGGATGAAGATTTGTGCGGAGGTAGATTGGAATCAGGAGACGGACATAGAATGCTTTTGAATTCGTTCAACCAAAAAAAAAATGCTAAAAAAATCCAAAATCTGTTTATTTACTGGCTCTAAATCAAACAGTTTACCTGGTCAGATATACATTTATAATTATGAAACTAACGCGGACAAAGTCGCGGGCGAATACTAGTTTTGAATAAAACAATAAAGAAGCTCTAACATAGTATCACCGTAGTACAAAGCATCTGAGTATCAAAATTTTACATCATCTTCAATATTCACGTCTTCGTAAGTGTACTCGAAAAATTTCAAAGATTTAATATTAAAGTTTGTAAATATAGGTTTTATAACTACATATGTATATCTTATATATAAAATTATCAAAAAGTTAGACAGAGAAATCCTCCAAACGACTGGGCCGATTTTGATGAAATTTTGTGAGGATATTGAGTAGGTCTGAGAATCGGCCATCTATTTTTCATACGCCTAAGTCATAAGGGTTGTTCACATTTTTTTTATTCGGACGAATTTTTTTGTTTCATTTTTTTATAATGTAGCATTTAAATACATACAACCTAAAAATTTTACTTCTTTATCACTAATTCCGATTTTTTATATGACAAAACAAGGTTTGCCGGGTCAGCTAGTATATATATTAAACCAAAGTGCTTTCATATAATAGTATCAGTAAGTATATGTATGAGGTGTGTATAAGATAAGATCTTTCAAATTATCCAGCCTCATTAGAGATTCAGTAAATGAAACCCCGGTATATTCTACACGCGTGTAGGATATCATTATGCAACACTGAAATATCCTGCTAATTTTATAAATGGGAGTTTGTGAGTATGTTTGTAGCACTTGTTCTCAGAAAATACTTGATGCATTTTGATGAAACTTTGCAATAATGTAGTTTAGATTCCAGAATAAGAAATAGAATAGAATTTAACGCGAATTTTTGAGTTATTGCTTGTGTATCAGGGCTGAACAGTTGTGTTGTATGAAGTAAAGTGAAACTTCTCATATTTAAAATCAGTTTTTAATTTTTTTTTCCAATCTTATTCCCTAATCCCCTCAGACGAAGTGGCGAGAAAAACATATATTTTACTTTTTATATATTTATATCCGATAATCTTTCCGTGGATAGATAAGTCTATTAATTTTTTATATAAATTTAACCTTAAAACTTTATTGGGAATACTTCAAACCGTTCGTATTTACGACGGTACTCAAAGTATCGTAGTAATTTATTGATATACAAATACTTTAATTTACTAACACGTATAGGAATTATTATATTTTGATTAAATCTAATGTCTCATTACTGCATACAGCTATTCAACCTTGAGATGATATTAGAGACGGCTTTGGTGAGTGCAAAATTTTATTATGTGCGGAATTAAGATCCATTATATAAGTGAGCTCACTACAAAGAATAGTATGTTATTATTAATTATGATAACCGACAACGAAAAGCGAGGTTCTTGTTTCATTTCCACGTATGGAAGCTTGAGTTTTATATGTTTTTATTATAAAATATTTTTTTAATGAAGAAGCTATCTACTCAGTTAATACGGACAAAAGAGCGAAGTTTTAAAAAGGCTACATTATTTATATTCAATAACGTAACCTCTCCTTTTTGAAGTCGGTTAATTTGTTATGACACTTTATTTTATACATCAATCAACTAATGTCTGTTTTCTCTTCGAAACGGCTCGACCGATTTTAATAATGCTTCAATAATATAGATGATTAGCTTTCCGGCCGCAGCTTCGGAGTTCAGTTTTATCGCATTTCCAAGAAAACCTTTCAAAAGTCTAGGATAAAAAGTATCCTATGTTCTTTCTCAAGGTCAACTCTATCTCTGTACCAAATTTCATGAAAATCAGTTCAGTGGTTTAGTCGTGACAGCGTAACAGACAGAGTAACTTTCGCATTTATAATATTAGTAGGGATGTTATAAGAAATACTTTGGCTGACTGAATAATATGCACGAATAAGTCAATAGAAATGAGGGTAGGAAAAAATGTGTACCACACGACAGATGTCAAGTAGGTACGTAGCATACCTAATACCTACTCCAAACCCTAGGCATTCTAAGTACATAGAGAACACCTGGCCTTAAAACAAAGCATCGAACTTATTATTCATTGAACACACCACACGCGTATTCATATACTAGCTCAGCACGCGACTTGCTTCATTACAAATAATTTATATTATAGCTAGATATAGCTTAAGTTAGCCTTTATTATATGGGCTGTCTTGAAGTAAAAGTGTCTTTGAAATCGGTTCAACAGTTCCAGAGATCGTTTCGGACAGACAGACATGCAGACAAGAATTAAAATACATATATCTTATATATAAAATTCTCGTGTCGCTGTGTTAGACAGAGAACTCCTCCGAAATGGCTGGACCGATTTTGAATAAATTTTGTGAAAATATTGAGTAGCTCTGAGAATCGACCAACAACTATTTTTCATACCCCTAAGTCATAAGGGTTGTTCATCCTCAATTTTTTTTCAATTTCTGGACGACGTCTTTTGTTTTTTTTTCATAATGTAGCATTTAAAAATACATACATATGTACAACCCACAATCCACTATATTTTTTCTATGGACTAAATTATAATATCATAATTAAGTTGTTGATATTTTTCTATGTCAAATAATGTGATATTATTATTTACATATTTTATTAATTTAATATCAATTTTCACTATCGCATTTTACCGTTTCCCTTCCTATTTATATGTATATTGTACTTTTAATACTTACTTTTGTCAACATTCAATTAAAATATAATATTTTTTAAACCATTATTGTAGCTGTCATAAAATCCTCTCGGGTTTTAGACTTATAAGAAAAATATGTGTTATCAGTGTATCAACTATTATTATTAGATCAGTGGTGGCCTAGTGGTTATAAGGCCCGCCTCTCATACACGAGGGCGTGGATTCAATCCTGGCCCTGGCAAGTACCAATGTGATTTTTACGAGTCATATGTACTTTCTAAGAGTATTTAAACATCACTGATTAATGCATTCCCAAAGAGGGTTGATGTCAGGCAGGCGGCCGGTCGTAAAAAAAATTGCCAAAAAATATTCACAACATGTAAGGCAGACCCTGGCTATAGCTGGGAAATTGCCAGGTAGAAAGAGATCAACTATTATTATTATAAAATGAATTTAACCTTTCAATTAATCACCACGTCCCAGTTTTCTTGTATCAAGTAACTTTTGACCGTAACAACTAGGTTAGAACGGAACTACCCTCGCCAGGTCAGCCGTATGCACAACCATTTAAAACCTAAGCAATACATGAAGTGCTTCACTTTATACGGAAAAATTCTATAGGTATAAAGAATACCACACATACATATATATTTATATATAAAATATTTATATTTTATTATTTCTGTGTATATAAAACGCTTCTAAAATGTTTTGTGACCAATAATATTGTTATCGAATTAAAAAGTCAGTGGTGGCTCAGTGGTTAAAGGGCCCGCCTCTCGTCGTCGAGGGCGCGGGTTCGATCCTGGCCCGGGCAAGTACCAATGTGATTTTTCCAAATCATATGTACTTTCTAAGAATATTTAGACATCACTGATTAATGTTGATTCCCAAAAAAAGAGGGTTGATGTCAGGCAGGCGGCCGGTCGTAAAAACAAATAGCCAAAAACTATTTAAACATGTAAGGCAGACCCTGGCTATAGCTGGGAAATTGCCAGGTAGAAGAAGAAGAATATTGTTATCGAATTCCATTCATTGGTAATTGAAAACTTTGATTGCTCTGAAATATAATTTCAGTATAGAATACATTATGATTTTTATTTGTATATTTTTTTATTAATTGATCATGGTATTTAGTATAAATGTAACATATCAACATCAAAAAAGGATATAATTTACAAACCATTTGGGTAAACCAAAACAAAGAGTATATTTGTTAAATTTTACCCTATTTTTTTTTAAGGTGGCGGTTGCACATTCCCCTCGGAATGGACCGGTAGCTGGTTTCAGTCTGGAGTTTCTGGTCTGATAAATATCAACTCAACACACATCCAATCTAGAGGAGAATGCTCGGAGACTGAGTCTTATGACAAATTCCTTCTATACGACAGGTAATTTTTAACATGTTATGTATTAAATTTACCCTAGCATTTGAAAGTCAAAATTGACCCGAACTAATTGCTTTTTGATGTTGTTTTGTCAACTATTAATAGTAAAGAAAATTTTCAATACAATTTTAAGTTAAATAACCTTTGATTATTATTAAATTATTGTAAAATCATTGGAAATTTTGATCTGTAACCGAGAGTTGGTGACAGTTATTTGGGTTTTGACAGGAAGTAAAAGTGATTTCAATTATTTACTTTGTTAGTTTTAGTAGTCAAATAAGTATAACAATTAAATATTTATATTATTATATCTTATTTCAGGAGCTTCGATTGCTACAGGTGTATGGTGATTCACGAAAAACATAAATATGTACTACAGTACAAAGAAAGTAAGTTAGTTTAATTTCATAGTTGTTTTATTACCTATATATATTTCTATTTCTACTTCTTTACTTAATAAATAGTTTAGGATATAACTTCAACAATAGTCTTTGTGTTCCGTGCCACGCTATACGATTTAAATCACTTTATAATAATTCCAAAATGTCCATATATGAACAAAATACAAAAAGAAATGTATAAAAAAGGCTATGTTAAAGGTACATATATCTAGATAATAACTGTAAAAATATCTTATTATTTTATACAAGTACAATAAATTGTACATAAAATTCGTTTTATCATACAAATATAAATTTATCAGAAACGTCAAAAGCTTGCTACTTGGCTAACGGTTTTTCCGTTTATTAATAAGAGCCAATTAACTATAGAGCCGCCGTACAGTGATCCAGCCAGCAATCAATCATGAACCGTCAATTATTAAAGCATCACATCAAACTCGAGCTGTCGACTGTATTTTTAATCATTTAAAATTAATGTATCACACCTGCCTATTTAAAATTCAAATTGGATGTTACAAATTTATTTGTACTAATAAATCAATTTATTGTTTTGTTAAAGTAACCAAGCGACGTTTTAAATGTTTTGTTATAGTAATGAAATGTTCATTATATATTGTATATGATTTGTTCAGTCAATATATTCTTAAACGACACTCAATGTGTTTGGTAACTTTCATAATTACACTTATACTACTATTGAAGTTGAAATTATAAATTAAAAACGTGTATCGAACGTTGAAGTATCCATCAAATTAAGCAAATTTAATTAATTATATTATGTCCAACAATGCATAGGGTAAATGTGAAATTCCCGTTTCCAGCTTTCTGCAGTCCAAAGGATTCCCTTTCAACGATATGCGAGGAAATAAGTGGTGATGCTCCTTTGTATTCGATGTTTAGGAAGGAGCCTCGACCCGAGCCACAGCCGTGCCCCTTCCACCCAGCACCATTCACATTCACGTACAGCAGGTCAGAATTTACCCCAACAACTATTGTTACCCCAATGAGATGTTAAACTTCGCGAGTATTCATTTAAATGAAACTAATATTTTTAAAGTCAGTGGTGGCCTAGTGGTTAGGGCGCGGGTTCAAACCTGGCAAGTACCAATGTGATTTTTCGGAGTCATATATACTTTATAAGAGTATTTAGACACCACTGACATACGGTGAAGGAAAACATCGAGAGGGAACCTGGACTTATAGTTTCACAATTATAAGTTTGAAATCAACAACCCGTCTTACAAGTGTAGTGATTAATGCTCAAACCTTCTCCATGTGAGAAGAAGCTCAGCAGTGCTCTGATAGGATGATGATGATGATGAATATTTTCGGATTATGTACTACGCGTATTTTATTGTTTTTATTAAACTACGTACTATCGACGCTTCGGTTACTTTGCAATCATGATTACGAGGAGATTTGTGACGCATGTAGTTTTTAAAAATAATAATATACGTGTATGAATCCGAACATATTAGTTTCATTTTAACCTTTTTTAAAGTAAATATTTCGCCCTAATTAATTTTTTCTTCATAAATTTCACATTATTAATAAAAACTGTTGGTTTTTTAATTTAATTTTTCCGACCACAGAACTTTTCATGTCAAAATAATGAAAAACATTATTCTGAGTATGGTTTATTATTTACTATAACAGGGGCTCTTCTATAATCTATTACATAAACTAATTCTTTATTTATTTATTTATATAATACATAACAAATTTCTTTTACGTTGTTACAAAATCCCTGTCGTCGGGTTTATCCGTACACCGGCATTTATTGAGTACACTCGGAATTTTTAGTACATAAATATACTAGCTATAACACTAAAGTATATAAGATTTTGAGTAACTAATATTTGTTTAATTATAACTCATATGTGAGTGTATACTAATTAGAGTGAATATTTTTTCCAGGGGTTTAGGCGACTGTGTCTACCCTCCATCAAGAGCTGAGTCGTGTACAGATGATTCAAGACTTCTGTTGAGATACATGGCCTGCCCAGATGTACCCGGGACTGAAAGCAATGGTGGGTAACTTTAAACATGGATTTAGATATTCTTTATAATGAAATGATGTTAAAATATAGCCTTGGTCATATATATCATTATAGATTTAATGTTGGATAAACGTATTTCTAATATTTTTGTGTATAAAACTATTACTGACTTGTTCAAACCTATGTATCTAAAGAAAGTATAAATGATGTGTAATTCTTGGGTAATTAAAGTCATTAAATTTTGAGTATATAAATTACAAATTTTGTTCAATGCATTTCAATTAATTTCGTCTACTGATCATCTTGAGATTTAATATTTTTTTAGTACCCATCTATCTTTCCACGGATGGAAAAACTATCGTAACTTATCCTAGCTAAATGAAGTATAAGGTCTTTATACACACGTAATTTGTATATGGGTCTCTTAATCCCTTTTAGGCCTGCAGTGCCCACTAGAAAGCATATCGCCCACTTTGGGAAAAGGCTGACATATAGTCGTCTCTTTTTTTTTATCTCTTACTCTCTCTCTCTCGCTTTGTCCAACTACTCGAAGATACTCACTTGCATGCTTTCCTTAAGGAATATATTTTGTGGTTGCTGAAATTAGGAAACTTTATTCGTCTCACTCTTAAAAATCGTGACATGGCAGGCAAAAAAAAATACTATTAGTTCAGTCCATGATATTTGAAGCCTTTTTCGCCATATTTTGACATTGTGGACCCCATAGTCCTCTATGTATGTATAACTAGTCACTGTCTCACTACTACCCTGTATAGAGCGACGCACGTCACCGGTCTGCTCCGCGCTAGTCTTTAGTCTGCCGAGCGCATGCCGCATCTCCAGTGGGGTACTTGAGACAGTGTATTATAAATATTACAAACAGTATCTAGGTTTCCCAGGCTTATAAAAATGTCTAATCTGCCAGATTTTTCGACTTCGCCGCTCTTATATCAATAGTGTTAACAAATTTAGTTTTTCTCAGTAATATAATTTAAATAATTGTCCTAACAGTTGAAGAGCTGGTGTGTTTAGCGACTTGGAAGGAAGGTTCGACCAGGTACCTCGTGGGACAGATATCACAAGTACAGAGAAGAAACTCGATAGCGTCAGACGAAGATACGTACAGGTGAGTTAATATATATACTAGAAGACCCGGCGAACTTCGTATCGCCCTATAATAAAGAAATATCTGTTATGTTTTTTTATTTATATTTTTGGAGTTTACCTATTAAAGCCATAAATCTCCGTGTTTTGAAGTGCGACAGAATGATTGACATATTAGTTAGTTGTCAAATCTAATGTCAAAAAAAAAACGCTTGCATCAACAACTACTAATAAATTAAAAATTAATTAAAAAAACATTGTCCAGCGGACGAAATTGTGAATCTAAACCATTTCCAGATCCCGTTGAGCACACACAAAAAATTTCATAAAAATCGGTCCAGTGGTTTGAGAGAAGTTCAGTGACATACACACTCACAGAAGAATAATATATATAAAGATGAAAAAAATGTTTTTCGGATTAAATTACGCGACATTATTTTCGTTAACTTTTCAGCAACCGTGATCACAGGCTAAAGAATGTATATATTATTGCACTCACTGAACAAATTTACCCCAATTGTACATGTTATAAAATGATTTACCCTCGTAAGAAATCGTATACTAATTATTTATTTATTTTATTTGAACGGCACATCGACAGTACATACATGAAGCACTTAAAACTAAACCATGTATGTACCAATTATAGATGTACACAGCACCGCTAAAAATTACTGTCTAGCTTACAAAAATTCGTATTATAAAAAAACAAGTTAACAAAAGAAATAACAAAACTATTACGAAAAAAATACAAATGAAGAAGAGAGAATATTAAACAACAATCAAAATAAACTTACTAAACTTACTACAGCTAAGTGCTAACTACTACTACTACTTATTCTAACAGGACTTGACAAAACATCAAAAATTTTTCGCTTAAACTTACTAATAAAATGTTATACTGAACAATTATAATATTTTTTATCTATTGCAATACTGATCCTGTTTCAAATTTATATAATTTAGTTTTTGTTATACTGATATTTTTCAAGATGCTATTTGTAAATATTTTCGCCTGAAATACAGGTTTATATCTAGCTCAGGGAAAGTAGATTTTATTTACATATAATACCTTTTACCTTTATGCATTGTGATCAGATTATGTTATCTATACAATTGTTACGTGTTTGGGATAAATAAACATTATTATTATAATTATAAATACTTAACTCTATTTTACATATATATAAATAATTGCAAAAGTATATCGTGATGCAATAGATATAGATATAATTGTTTTGTCTATAGATGCTTCATCTACAAAGGGCAACACGGTGAAAAAAGTACATACATTATTGCGCAGTCGGGGGACGCGACTTGCAATGGACTGTCCTCACCCACTGACGGGAGTAGAACTATGAAACTTACAACAAGTATGTATTATATATAACTAGCTTTCCGCGTGCAGCTTCGCCCGCGTGGAGTTCGGTTATATCGCGTTTCCAAGAGAACCTTTTAAGAGTCGTGAATAAAAACTATCCTATGTTCATTCTCAAGGTCAACTCTATGTCTGTACCAAATTTCATTAAAATCAGTTCAGTGGTTTAGGCGTGAAAGCGTAACACAGACAGAGTTACTTTCGCATTTATAATATTAGTAGGGATAACTAATAATACATATATCGTCGTGGATAGTGCAAATCCTCGTAACTAGAATTGTATAATTTGTAAAAACTACATTGGAAGTATATCACCAAAAGAAAGTTTAAGCTGTAATATTTTGAAATTAATGAATTTTAATGTATTTTTTTTTTACAATTAATAATTATTCAGCGTTTAATTTATTATACGCGGAACTATCCGATGCTAGTTATGCATTTACACTATCACCAACGAAATTTGTTTGTTTGTTCGTGTGTATCTCAATACATCTTCAATTAATGAAATCCAAAACTTTCAGAAGCATTTTTTAAATTTAATTAGGATTATCAGGCATACTACTTCTTAATTTTCTATGTTATTTGTATTATGCATATTTTATTACGCCACTGAGTCGGGTAATATAATGTCAGTTTTTACCCCCCACTAATGGTTACCTGTTACCTTACCTAACATTACCCGTAAAGGTAATAAATGTTTTGTTCTAGGTGACGATGAACACACTCGTTGTCATTTCCCAAGTTGGATCGTGGAGCATCACAAATGGTTTAGTCTTGATCACACACATCAGTACCATTTTACTACGAAGAACGCTACGTTAAAGGTATATATATATATGAATAGCTTTCCGCCCGCAGCTTCACCCGCGTGGAGTTCGGTTATATCGCGTTTCCAAGAGAAGTTTTCAAAAGTCTCGGATAAAAACTATCCTATGTTCTTTCTCAAGGTCAACTCCATCTCTGTACCAAATTTCATTAAAATCAGTTCAGTGGTTTAGTCGTGAAAGCGTAACAGACAGACAGACAGAGATACTTTCGCATTTAATATTAGTAGGGATTAACAATATATATTGAATTTCCAATTATATATATAATTAAGTAATTTCTATGAATTATTTGACTTAATATTATAATTTACGTAGGTAATGAATGCTGATGGGTCGTTTGAGGAGAAACGTCTCGTTTGTCACTCTATATTGGAGCAGAAAGACAAGAAATACATCAAATTAGTTGCTCACGTTACGCGAGGATGGTATGTGTTTCATTTAATATTAGAAAATTATTATTATAACCTAGTATCAACTAATATTTGAATAATCAATAAAATCTCCCAAAATTATCTTCACCAAATTTAATATAAGACTAAAGTTAAAATGATTTTGGATTGAAAATAAATAAGGAAATCTCAGCTCAAATAAAACTGAAATAAACTCAAAAGATTATACAGGGTGACTGGTGAATTACTATCAATATTTAAGGAGCATACTCGGTACATGATTCTCATTCGAATTATGTAAAAAAAATAGGTACTTAATTTTTGACCAAATTTCCGTATAAATAAATAAAGTGTGTACACGTTCCAAGTGTTCCATGTGTGGACGCGTGCGGCGGCGTGCTAATACAACAACACGCCGCCGCGCGCGAGTGTGTGTGTGTGTGTATAGCTAATCTGTAGGGTGTTCATACGATGCGTAATTTATTACATAACTTTTGGTTAACTTTACTTAGAAGTTTATTAATATTTATGTTATATTAATTTTTATTTTGTCATATATGATCGTCAAATATCACGTCCTCAAATATCGATAGTAATTCACCAGTCACCCTGTATACATCCATTTCTCATACATCGTTCACTAAAAAATAAAATTATCTTCTAATACTATGCCTTTTTTATATTTTAAACTACATACTCCCGGAATTTCAGTTACTTTGTAGCAAGCAATCAAAATATGTATTTAAACGCATAATATACGAAAAAAAAAATTTAATTTCAATGAAACGAAATAATTTTATATCTCATTTAATATATATGTATAAATGGTAAAAATTATTAGTTTTATTTCAATTAATATCGTAAATTTTATATGTCATTTATAACTTTACAGTGAATCGGGTCATGTATGTCTGTCTTTCTACTATCGTGTCCCCGGCTCAGTCATGGAATTAAGAGGAGGTTCTTTATGGGACGCGCCACAAGATGCCTGCAATCAGCAAATGGACAATCCATACGTCACACTTATCAGTAAATATATAATCAAGTTATTAACACTTATCATAAATAATTAAATCATCATCATCAGCCTATCAGAGCCTACAGCTGAGCCTCTTCTCACATGGAGAAGGTTATAGCATTAATCACCACGCTCGCTCAAGACGGGTTGGTGATTTCAAACTTATAATTTGATATAAGTCCATGTTTCCTCACGATGTTTTCCTTCATTAATCAGTGATGTCTAAATACTCTTATAAAGTACATATGACTCGGAATAATCACATTGGTACTTGCCAGGATCGAACCCGCGTCCTCATGCATGAAAAGCGGACCTTTAACCACTAAGCTACCACTGACTTCCTAAATAATCCCATATAATTGAAAATTAATTATGTTTATCTTGATATTTTTATCTCATTTCATACAGGAATGTTTTTTTTTGTTTATAAATATATAATTAATATAATAATTTAATTCTAGCTACATCTCTAACGCCGATGCAGTGTCCAATACAAGGAAGGTATAGCATCGTTGGGTCGATATCTGACAGACGACGACGCAGGCAACAATTACCCCAGGGTAAAAACTATTTATATATAAAAAAACTTCCAAGTGACATTTGCCATCGTACTAAATATTTAATAATAAGCTATAAATATATTGTTACATTATCATAAAAGAAATTCAATACAAAAATAAGTTATCTCTTAAAAAAATACATATCTCTACCAAAAACGGTTTTGATAGACAAAATGAGAAAGAAAATGTGGAGTAAATACAATGAACATATACATTCGGAAATCTTGTTCATGAAATATATTATGTATATATATTTTCCACTCATTGATTGAAATTAATTGATTCGACATCAAGACACACACAAACACACACACATACAGAGACACAGACACACAACTGTTTATATTATATATGACTACTAGAAGACTCGGCGAACTTCGTATCGCCCTATAATCAAGAATTATCTGTTACGTTTTTTTAATAAATAAATTTAGGTAATACCTTAGCCTCAGAAACACGTAGTGGTTATGCTATTATTAAATAGTCGCTCATATATGACGTTTGTATTTTTAACACAGCGCCATCTATTGAATTTAACTCAGTCGATAGATAATTGTAATAATGACAAATAATTTTCTTTAATAGACAAATAATTTGCCATAAAATAATATTGTGACTATAAATTGAGATGTAAGTTATCCTATCTCTCAAGTTGGATCAAAATGTACACGGAATGCAAATCAAATTTAAGATCGGTTTAGTAGTTTAGGAGTCCATCGCGGACAAACACGTGACACGAAATTTTTATATATTTTTATATATATATAAAGATAATGAATATAAATGGTTCCAGGTGATGAAAATCCCCAAGAGGAGTGTGTAGGGGGTGATTATGACAGTATGAGCATTGGCTGCGGACCTTCACAAGACAGCGTGGAGCTAAAATCAAGCTGTACCAGCACTAGTGAGTATAAAAATCACAATTATACATAACTAGCTTTCCGCCCGCAGCTTCGCCCGCGTGCAGTTCGGTTATATCTCGTTTCCAAGAGAACCTTTCAAAAGTCTGACATAAAAACTATCCTATGTTCTTTCTCAAGGACAACTCTATGTCTGTACCAAATTTCATTAAAATCAGTTTCGCATTTATAAAGTAGCCTATGTGTTATTCCTGGACGTCAGCTTCCTTTATACAATTTTTTTCAAAATCGGTTCAGCCGTTTGAGCGTGAAGAACTAACTAACATACACATACTCACAAACTTTCGCAATTATAATATTAGTAGGATAAACATTAGATTTAAGATTTGTTATGAAATCTTATATATAAAAAGTTTGTTCCCGAACTCCTCCGAAACCGCTGGACCGATTTTGATGAAATTTTGTGAGCATTTTGAGTAGGTCTGAGAATCTATATTCCATATTCTGTTTTCCATATTCTATACAACATGCATCTCACAATGACTTGAATTATATATATAAAGATGTATTGTAATTAATGTTATTTTCATTGTAACAGTGTACACATGTTACGGGGACTGGCAAGAAGGTGGTCGAGGATACTTGGTAGCGGCTCCTGTAGCTAGGGGCTCCTCACATCCAAGGACTTTCTGCTTTATGTACACACACCGCAACGGTCAGTATATAATATGTGAAACTACCCTCAATAACACTAAAGTTTATATACATATACATATACATATATATATATATATATATATATATATATATATATATATATATATATATATATATATATATATATATATATATATATATATATATATATATATAACCGTTAATATTAATAATATATAACTGTTAAAGTAAATTTGTTTCTATAATTTCTGAACTTATTTTCATTTCGTTTAGTTTAGATTTGTTAAATAGTTTTCGTTAAATTATTTTATTTCATTGTTAGTTTTTATCTTTTCATTTTTATTTCTTATGTTTTGTTTTAGAGTTCAATTATGTAAAAGTACATGTTATACTCCTATAATTGGAGGTACATTTGAAAATTTTACTGTCTAAACTTGTATTTTTTGTATGATATATGTACCTGTGTTGGAGTTCCATTTTAAATATATATATATATATATATATATAGATATGTATTTATGCTAATTATATTGTAATTTCATCTGTTTCATATAAGAATCTTCATCGGTGACCACATCAATCAGCGCTGTATCCCGTTCATGTGATAGATCACTCATCCCGGGGAAACATGGAGATGCTGCCTACAATCTGACCAGCAACGGTAAGATAATAACATATATACTTAACAAATAAATTATAAATACTTATATTAATACTTTAATATAATAATTAAGATTAAAGTATCTTGAAGAGTACTCTCAACACTAGGGTCATAGACAAGTCTTTGTTAATATCATCTGATCATATTTGTTTAAAAGATTGCCAATTTCTATTGAATATATATATATGTACATTGAAGTCAGTAGTGGCCTAGTGGGTAAAATGCCCGCCTCTCATGCATAAAGGCGCGGGTTCGATCCTGGCAAGTACCAATGTGATTTTTCCGATTCATATGTACTTTAAGAGTATTTAGACATCACTGATTAATGCATTCCCAAAGATGGTTGATGTCATTCAGGCGGATCGTAAAAACAATTAGCCAAAACTATTCACAACATGTAAGGCAGACCCTGGCCATAATTGGGAAATTACCGGGTAGAATAAGATATATAAATATTTATATATTTTTCAGGTACATGTCAACAAAGCAGCCAATACAATAGCTCAGCCAGCCGAGCTACTCCTTTAGTGTTTGTGCTCGCTGCAATCTTCTTCATCCGGTGATACCACCTTCAATAGGATGCTCAAACACTGAGACTGCATCATCAAAACTATATATATAATTAATTTCAAACAATTATTTATATGGCAGCTTTATTTATTTACAATGATAACAAAAATCTTTTGCTTTAATATAACTTGCCGCTTATGTTTAATTTTAATTGTTTCAGTAACTATTAGGTTAGTCGACTTGAACAGAGTTTAATGGAAACGAAATCGTGTAAATATATCTTATATATATATGAAATATTCAATCTATATATTATATGATAGCTATGTCCAATGAGAATAAAATATAGACTGTGCATTCGGATTGTACAAGTTATATGCTTTCATATTAAACAATAACTGTATTCTAAAGACATACAGAATAACTTTAAGACATTTATATAGATAGATATATAATTTAGAATTGAAATATGCTCATTATAATACATATATTTTTTTGGTCATTATATATTAACCTTTATGGGAACAACATTATCATATTCCTATATATATATATTTCATTTGTAATTTCTTTTTTCTATATATATATTTCCCGCTTCAGCTTAAAATAAATCCTGACCAATAGAATTTAATATTGCTCATAATATAATAGTTGAAAAAGTAAATTTTATTTGTGATATATATAATATATATTAATTGTTTAAGGATAAAAAATTGTACATACTCACACGAGTTCCTGTGTTTGTTTTCTAAAATTTTGTGATAATTTATTATTATTTTGATTTCTTCTCTATATAAATAAGTTACATAGTCTACGCTTGCCTCAGATATAGCCCAGAATTATTGTAAATAGTTTAAATATAATTAATTATACAATAATTTATAAGCGATTTAAGATTTGTTTTTAAATACAGCTAATGTATGATATTTTATTGATAACAGATTAAAAAAAATTACATATTTTTTAATTTCATTTAAGTGTTTATGCACAATGTTAAAGTAATTTTTCACTTAGGATTAAGGCTTGTGTTAGTTTTTTTTTTAATATTTATAAAGTTAAGGTAAATTTCACATTGTGAATAAATTGCACTGAGGTTTTATGTAAAAATGCTATGTTATAATCAATGGGAAGTTGTATTTAATCAGCTTGTATATAATTTTTATTTTTCGGCAGCCATTTTGTTTTTGATGTCAGTTTTCTGTATAGCTAGTAGGTGTTGGTTCAGTAATAATTTTTTGTCAGCTTTTCAGTTCTTGTGAATGATCACGCCGTGGGATACGATTTGTAACTATTAATGTATAAGCCTATTATTATATTTTGATTACTGAAATATATTTAAAAATCTATATTTGTTTTATTTCTTTATCCATTACGACCGTGACTGAAAAATATGTTGTCCTATTAAAAACTTGGTAATGTTTTTTCAATACATTGAAAATATGTATTTAATTGATATAAAAATCCGCTAGATGTCACTATTATTAAAAAGTTGAAAAACTTTACTAATTAATATAATATAAGAGCGTGTTATAAATATAAATATAACTTGTAAGTTACAAATAAAATATAAGTGCATCATTTAACTTCACAACAATTTCTCTTTGTTAGTTAAATAATTAGTTCAGTTGGCGTTGTCTCTGTACGTTGTAAAACACGAAACCATTGTCTTACTTTATACGCTTCTTTGTAACAGGGTTTTCCTCAAATTTATATAATGAGTTATTAACATAACAAAATATATATTAATACTAGCTTCCCGCCGCATGGAGTTCGGTTATATAGCGTTTCCAAGAGAACCTTTCAAAAGTCTGGCATATAAACTATCCTGTTCTTTCTCAAGGTCAACTATATCTCTGTATCAAATTTCATTAAAATAAATTCAGTGGTGTAGGCATGAAAGCCTAACAGACAGACAGAGTTACTTTCGCATTTATAATATTAGTAGGGATTACTACTGTATGAGTCTCAATTACGTAATTTTACTATAACAAAGAGTATAAGAAATAATCAGTAGCCAGGACAGGCCAGTCTGGTGTACCCTGTCGCTGACAGATCCGGGGTACACCGACATAGCGGCCGATGGCTTTCGCAGTGGTTTTAGTCAGTAGGGGCCTGCCCAGGCCGAGTCTCACTCATCCCTTCCGGCCCCACCAAGGCCGGTTGGACGGCTCGTAAAAAGACTTTCCCTGCGTCATCAAAAAAAATACCTTCAGTAAGAAATATTAAGATTAAATCATCTAACATTAAAAATCATTAAATTATTATAAAATACATATTATTTAAGAAAATTTAAATGCTATATTTGAATTATTTCGCGGTAATACTTTTGAAGTAAATATTCTTTACGCATGCTTGACTTGGGAGTAAGCTGGTGATTGCGTTACGAAAAGTGTGATTAGGCGAGGAGAATGAGAGTGAGAGGGAGATATAAGTTAGTGAAGATAGATAGAGAGTGTTAAGGCTTGTATATTACTGTAAGGCAAGAGAGAGAGAGATATGTGCAACTATATTTTCTTTTTCGCTTCCTTTCATAACCAATGCATGAAATTTTCAGCAGTTCTCTTTAGTTTTCTCTAAATATCTTTCTAATCTTCACTCGAAAAAATATGTATCTTATTAGTTATTTCTCATATCATACACCTCTTGTTTCGGTGTTACAATCAACCACAGTTACTACTGATGTATCCGATGATGAATATAATGAAAATAATGGATAAAAGAAATATCTATTTAAAAATATTAATTTATCAATGATAACCGACAATGAATTCAAATACGTATTTGTACAAAATTAATAATGTATATACATGTATGTATTATACATATTAATTCAAGATCCCAAAAATACCAGACGTCACGTTTTTCTGATGGATGATTTCATCGAATTGAGTAGGTAGTGTTAGTAGGTACTATGATCGTATACCTACCTGCTAGCTTGGTCAAACGGTAAATTTCCAGGTATTAGGTAATCAAAGACATAAAAACCTTACTAACTTCAAGTAAATTCTCATGGATTATTTTCATATATGTTATAAAATGTATAATTAAAAACAATTTGACAATAGCGGTAGAGGCTTTCCGTCATATTGCTTGGCAGACAGCTTAATGCTTTTGAAATAACTAGTTCACCCAGCAACCATTTCAAAATCTTTGAAAGGAAATCAGACCGAAGCTCACTTTTACAAGGCGGTAAATATAAAATTCTCCGAATCAATTGATTACGTTAATATGAATGAGGAAAATATACCAATTTAGTTTACCGTAGCTGAAAAAACTTATAAAATATTTAAAGCAACCTTGCTATTCGTACGTGTATAGCTCTAGTAACGAATACTTCCAATTAGAAAACAAATATTCATATAAAAAAGCATTTTGATTCCACTATGTTTATCCTTGTTATTTTTCATACATGGAACAAAATTTGTGAAAAAGAAAAGATTTCTCGTCCCTTAACAAAAACTTTATCGAACTGATAAATTACCATTCAAAGACTTCATTCAAATTAATTTTTTTATTGTTATGCTATCAGAAACTATAAATTTTGTTATTTGTACATTAAGAATTCACAATTTTTTATTTACTATTTACATCAGTGCTATGAACTTTGTCTATACCTGGAAATTTGGTAACGTCAAAGATTATTATACATCATAAATTGGCATTCGCTTCTCTAATATAAAATTAATTGTACTACCTGACCACCGATTATAGATTGCGTGTTTATTTAACTTCGTATCTTTAAAAAACCAATAGATGGCGCCGATAGCGGTATTAAATACTTTAATCTGTTAATATTGTAGTTTTTATAATCTTCTTATGATGAATAGTTATTTAAAAATACTTACACAGTAATTAATACGTCAGCACATGAATGGACAGAATTATTCACGATTTTTTCATCTGAAAAATACAAAAACCAAAATTGTAGAAGACATCATTGAGAATTTAATTAAAAAAAAATCATTTTTTCATGTTATATTGTACCACATTATTTATTTAACTATTTATAAATTTTAATTATAACGTTCAACATTCTATTGAGCCCCAAAAACAAACTGTGTAGATAAGTATATTTATTTAAAAGAAAGTAGAGTATTACTGTCGAGTACAGATATTCATTAATTAAATAACTTTACATGAGCATATTCTCATATTAGGAATCACAGTATAGATTTTTCAAATACAACATATTCTAAATATAATAATATACAAAAAATAATTTCAACTGAGCAATAAAATACATACTATTGCGTGTCTAAATTAAGTTACTATAAAATATACATAATTTTTTTAATTAATCATAGTTATTTTTAGAACTATACTACTAAGTATTATTTTATATACATTAAAAGAGTTTAAGGAAAAATCGACGATAGCCTTGACCGGTTTTTAATTTTAACGATTTGACAGCACTAGCAAGAGGAAATGTCAAATTGCTAATATCGTATAGTCTATGATAACATATTTAGGCGCACGCGGAAGTGGTTGCAACCAATTTCCTTTTCCTAAAAAAATTTCAAATATTAAATGCAAACTTTATCAAAAACTTTTCTTGGAATGATATCTTGCTAAGTGCTTTATATTTACGTGCCGAAATATATTAAGTGCTTACGTGATCAAAAGGTGTACAAAGTGTTACCATGGAAGTGTCGGATATAAACGATTTGTTAAACGTAAGGTCTATTAAAATGGAAACTGGAGAGAGTTCTTTTGGCGATGATACTAATTGTGTGGAGAATTCTGATCCACTATCTGTAATACCGCAATACGTTACTGAATCAGACTTAGGTGAATACTTTGTTAAAACTCGCATACCTACGTAAATTTGTATTATTTAGGATGTTAGTTTTTAAAAAGTTTTCGATTTAACGTTGAAGGTTTACTACCGAGTGGTTCGGAGATATTGGAAGCTCCGTTGGCTGTATTCACAGACACTCAAGATGACGAAGATACTATGCAAAGCAACGACTCAAGTGGTAATGTAAAAACAATAACAAAAACAAATTTAAACCACCTATTTCCTGCAATTATGCTTTTAACGTTTGTTCGTTATAAAAAAAACAATATTCCTATAAATATATAGATTATTGTATTACATTTATTATAAATTACTAAAGTTTGATATAAATTCGTCAAGACTTCATATAACATGTGAAAAACATCAGTATATATATAAAGACAAGTTTCTGTAAATATAAAGTTTTATATATAATTATTTTATAATATTTCAGAAGAAGTGATCATTCAGCTTATGGATATAAGGACAAAACTATCACGTCTCAAGTCTATGTTGGAAAAACGTCTGAACACGGATCTCTCCGATTACACATTCTGGCTTCAAGATGCTAAAATGGTGATGATTTCATTAATTATATTATATCTTCTTCCTGGCCATTTCCTAGCTTTAGCCAGGGCCTGCCTTACATGTTGTAAAAAGTTTTGGCTAATTGTTTTTAAGATCGACCGCCTGACTGACATCAACACTTTTGGGAATAAATTTTAGTATATATGATACATATACTTTATTATTCATTTATAATATTCATTTAAATAAGATAAAATTAATAACATTTAAACTGAACAAATTATTAGATATTTGTTTTTCTATTTACATTTGATTCACTAAAATTCTTTAGTTTATACTAATGATAATTTAAATCAGAATTACTATTAAATATATCTTTAAATATTATAACAAAGAAAAGCTATTGATGTTAGTATATTTTATACATATACTATAGTATTGAAAATATCTCTAATAAAGTACTAATAAATTAATAATATACATTTATATGAATAATATTTTCAGCTAGAAAATCACAAGACTTTAGTTGAACAATGTATCCGAGGTTCTGGTTTAGTTCAAGTTAACATACAAATAAGATCGTCGCAGAAGAAAATTAACATTATGGATGTTTTGAAACCCGACGAAGAACTGCTACAACTGCCTCAAGATGATGATTGTACGTAGATTTTCATATACACATATTGATTATGTTCGATTCTGGCAAGTACCAATGTGATTGTTCCGAGTCATATGTACTTAAGAGTATTTAGACATCACTGACAGATGAAGGAAAACATTATGAGGAAGCATGGACTTATATCAAATTATAAGTTTGAAATCACCAACCCGTCTTGAGCGAGCGTGGTGATTAATGCTCAAACTATCTCCATGTGAGAAAGAGGCCTTTGCTCAGCAGTGGGCTCTGATATTTTGATTAAAGTCACTAAGCCATGATAGTTCTTAATAAGTAAAAATCATTATAATTCATCCCTACTAATATTATAAATGCGAAAGTAACTCTGTCTGTCTGTCTGTTACGCTTTCACGCATAAACCACTGAACTGATTTTAATGAAATTTGGTACAGACATAGTTGACCTTGAGAAAGAACATAGGATAGTTTTTATCCCAGACTTTTGAAAGGTTCTCTTGGAAACGCGATATAACCGAACTCCACGCGGGCTAAGCTGCGGGCGGAAAGCTAGTATAATATAATAAGATATAGTATGAACATATATATATATGTTTCTATGTGATATATTTTCAGTGTCTGAATGTGATTCCGTGCCACCCATTGAAGTACAAACTCCTCATGCAGCGGGTGTCAAATGGATTGTAGATACAAGCTTCAGAAACGATCACAGTCGAGCTCGGATACCTGAAGATCCTATGCAATGGTAGAATAATCATTATTATTCTAAATATATATAACATATTATATATTTATAAAGCATATATAGTTATTATATAAATGATTTCATAACTTTTATATGTAATTTTTGTCTGAATAAGGAAAATATGAAGGAAAATGTATATATATCTTACCTATCCTACTAATATTATAATTGCGAAAGTTTATGAGTGTGTGTGTATGTTAGTTAATTCTTCACGCTCAAACGGCTGAACCGATTTTGATAAAATTTTGTATACAGGAAGCTGACATCCAGGAATAACACATAGGCTACTTTACATCCCGGAAATCCGCGGGTAACACCGCGGGGCGCAGCTAGTTATTATATAAAATTGATGTTCAAAGTGTTATATACAGGGTGACTGGTGAATTACTATCGATACTTGAGGACGTGATATTTGACGATCATATATGACAAAATAAAAATTAATATAACATAAATATTAATAAACTTTTAAGTAAAGTTAACCAAAAGTTATGTAATTAATTATCGTGTGAACACCCTACAGATTAGGTATACACTTACACACACATACGCGTGCGGCGGCGTAGTGTTGTATCAGCACGCCGTCGCACGCGTCCACACTTGGAACGTGTCAACACTTTATTTATTTATACGGACATTTTGTCAAAAATTAAGTGCCTATTTTTTTTACATAATTCGAATGAGAATCATGTACCGAGTATTCTCCTTAAATATTGATAGTAATTCACCAGTCACCCTGTATGTGTTATAAATGCTATACCGTCGCTGATAGTGCGAATCCTAATAACTAGCATTGTATAATTCCGTTATCTACATTGGAAGCATATCAGGAGAAAGTTTAAGATGAATTATTTTCTATATTAAAGACTTTTAAGGTAAATTGTTTCACAATTAGTAATTATTTAGTATTTTATTTATGTTTCCAGGTCAGTACAACACGTTCGTCTGTGGATACAATGGGCTGTTCGTCAGTTTTCGTTGATGGGTTTGAAGCTAGCTGACTGGAGTCTTACTGGCGCTGAGTTATGTGAAGTCACTAATGTTGAATTCAAGTAATAATATTATATATCTATAAAACTAACATATAAGTAGTGGTTAAAGGGCCCACCTCTCGTTGCCGAGGGCGCAGGTTCGATCCTGGCAAGTACCAATGTGATTGTTCCGAGTCATACGTACTTTATAAGAGTATTTAGACATCGCTGGTTAATGCATTCCCATAGAAGGTTAATGTCAGGCAGGCGGCCGGTCGTAAAAACAATTAGCCAAAACTATTCACAACATGTAAGGCAGACCCTGGCTATAGCTGGGAAATTGCCAGGTAGAAGAAAAAAAATAACATACATACAAAACATTTATATCAGAACAAATACAGGGTGTTCTAAAAACTGTGTCAACCCTTGAAGGCATGTATACATATAGCTATAAGCTTATTATAAAAAATAGTATAACTTAAAAAATATCAAGCAGAGGTCAGTTACAGTGCATAGGCTAAATAATTTCTAAATCGACATTATTTGAAAAAATGTTCCAAACATCTGACTCATACAAGGTCAAGACACCGTATAGTCGCGACGACGCATGCGTGGCCATTGACCGCATGCGCCGGGCCGCCGGCGTTATTATTACTATTTTGTTAGTTTGTCGAATAGAGATTTGCAAGTTTAAAAATGTGGTATATCGATAAATATTCTATCGATATTTTCAATATTGCTGTAAATAGTTATGCTTTTCACATTAAAATAATTTCATTTAAAATAACTTTTATAAATAATAAATATTATTAATCAATATTATAATTTGGAACTTCTTCAGGTAAATTAACTATGTTGTATTATTAGGATAAATCGTTAATCTATTTCTGTTAAAAATGGTGTTTTACAATCAAAATAATATTAATGTTTGATATATCAAAATAAGTATCGCAATAATATTAATATTAAATATTTATTTTTTGTAATGATTTTTTAAATATCAATATTTTCAATAATGTGAAAGTAACTTCGAGTTCGTCACTAGTAGCGCAGCAGCTGTGATGACGTCATTGCGTGTCATCGTGTTATACCAGGGCTTACAAACATTTTGTTACTCTACATATAATAATCATTTAAAATTTAATTTTATTATTTTTATTGAAGAGTTTGTAAATGTAAGTTGTTTGATTGTGTTCCATTTTCGATACTTAACGCAGTTAAGGGGGTTGACACAGTTTTTAGAATACCCTGTATACAGTTGTATTCAATAAAACTATGTTAAATTCGTAATATGTATATTGTGGTTAGTAGCAAGACTATGACAGAACCTAATATAATAAATGTAGGTAACATTATACTTTTTTACTATTTAAAAACACTTACCAAATATTATTAATCCCTACTAATATTATAAATGCGAAAGTAACTCTGTCTGTCTGTCTGTTACGCTTTCGCGCCTAAACCACTGAACTGATTTTAATGAAATTTGGTACAGATATAGAGTTGACCTTGAGACAGAACATAGTATAGTTTTTATCCCAGAATTTTGAAAGGTTCTCTTGGAAACGCGATACAAACGAACTCCACGCGGGCGGAAAGTTAGTATATTATATAAACATTTTTTTTCTATTTTTTCAGGAAAAAAGTGCCTTCAGATCCCGGAGATTTATTCTGGACGCATTTTGAATTGCTACGAAAATGCAAATTTATAGGTTGGTTTAAATTTATGTGCAAAAAATATATTATTAATAGTTAAGGCTTATCAGTATATGAAGACGTTTTAATAAGAGATAGACTCGAGAACTGACATAAAATAAATGAAGTGTGACTATTAGATATCTCATTTCTAAATACAAGTTTTCTAATATACATATATATAAAAATGAATTGCTGTTCGTTAGTCTCACTAAAACTCGAGAACGGCTGAACGGATTTATATTATCTTACTCTTGAAATGTTCGTGGAGGTTCAGGAAAGGATTAAAAAAATTAAAACAGCCCTTTTCTATTTCCCATACAAACGTTTTTTGGACATTAGATTTGACAACTAACTAATATGTCAATCATTCTGTCGCACTTCAAAACACGGAGACTTATGACTTGAAACTCCAAAAAAATAAATAAAATATTATTTATTTATCGACTGCGGCAGTACGAAGTCTGCCGGGTCAGTTAGTGAATATATAAAACTAAGGAAATTTGTATTTCCTATACATTTTAATAATAACTTTTCATTTTCCCAGCCGTCGTTCAAAACGAGGAGCCTGTCAAAGATCCGCTTGAAGCTCCACAATCAGCTATCAAGAAGAAACCAAAACAGGTGAAGAATTACTTATATGGAAATTATATTTATATGATTATATCTACACTCAAACATACAGTTTTCAATTTAAAACACATTTACTTTGAAATCGGTTAATGAAGTCTTGATATATGATAATTAATGATTCCAGAATGTATATAAAAATTTATATTTTCTATCTATATACATAGTTAATTTTAGATATGACTCTTAACATAATGAAATCTGTCACTATTCTCACTAATAACATATTAAGTGATTGATATATTTAAATAGCTTGTTTAATATATATCAAGTAATGTTTTTATCTAAACAAATCTATAAATGTAATTCTATTACTGTTCGAAGCTGATAATTCGTCAATCAGATGATGCTTGCCACTACGTTACAAGGAATGGGAATAATGGACAAATACAATTATGGCAGTTCCTGTTAGAATTATTGACAAGCGCTGAATATTATGATGTCATTAGATGGCACGGTAGGTAATGTATATATACAGGGTGACTGGTGAATTACTATCGATACTTGAGGACGTGATATTTGACGATCATATATGACAAAATAAAAATTAATATAACATAAATATTAATAAACTTCTAAGTAAAGTTAACCAAAAGTTATGTCATTAATTACGCATCATGTGAACACCCTACAGATTAGGTATACACATACACACAAACGCGTACGGCGGCGTGGTGTTGTATCAGCACGCCGCCGCACGCGTCCATATTTGGAACACTTGGAACGTGTCCACACTTTATTTATTTATACGGAAATTTCGTCAAAAATTAAGTACCAATTTTTTTTACATAATTCGAATTAGAATCATGTACCGAGTATGCTCCTTAAATATTGATAGTAATTCACCAGTCACCCTGTATATTAACTACAAGCTCACTTCTACCTGGCAATATACCAGATTTAGCCAGGGTCATGTACATGTTGTGAATACTTTTGGCTAATTGTTTTTAAGCTGCCTGTCTGACATCAACCCTCTTTGGGAATACATTAATCAGTGATGTCTAAATACTTTTTTTTCGTCTTGTAAGGGGCCATCCATAAAGTACGTCACACGTAAAGTGGGGGGAGGGGGTCGACAAAGTGTGACATGGTGTGACAAGGGGTGGGAGGGGTCCTAAGTTTCGTGACATCACATTTCTAAATCTAGAGGTACTAATCGCGTAATTTGAAATTTTAATTAAAATCTTTAAAACTGAGCGCGTCATCATATATATGTATAATCATTAGTTTATTTTTTTGTTATTGTTTCAAATATTTGATACTGTATTGATTTCATAAGAAAGTACTTAATTTAAATGGAAATAAAAGTAATTTCGGAACTGCTGTTTTAATTTAATAATTTTTCGATGTTAAATTGCAAGACATGTGACGTCACACTAGGGAGGGGGGGTCTCAGAAATGTGACCACCTGTGACAAGGAGGGGGGAGGGCTCAAAAACTCATGAAATTAGTGTGACGTATTTTATGGATGGCCCCTAACTAGAATTGTAAGGTTTCCACTTAATTTAAATTTAATGTGCTGAAGTATTTTTTTCAATGCATGTAATAAATTTAACATTATGAAATAATATATTAATCAAATTAATACTTATTATTGAAGTATTATCTGTCTCGGTCTTAAAACAGAGAGTAAACAATATTTCCATACTGAATTCAATAACATAACATATATGGATTATAAAAGAAACAGAATTCTACAATATCTTCAAATACATAATTGTAACTTATATATGAGCTTACAGGTTGAAAATCATTTCATGTAATTATTATTTTCATTCAAAGGTACTTCTGGTGAATTCAAACTTCTAGAGCCAGAAAGAGTTGCTCATTTGTGGGGTCAAAGGAAACATAAGCCCGCTATGAATTATGAGAAGCTATCACGAGCACTGAGATATTATTATGATGGAGATATGATAGCTAAAGTAGCTGGAAAAAGGTGAGATTTAAGTCATACTTATATCTGGCCGACCATCTACTTAGATATCCACTTTATAACTACTTATCTTCTTCTTCTACCTGGCAATTTCCCAGCTTTAGCCAGGGTCTGCCTTACAAGTTATGAATAGTTTTGGCTAATTGTTTTTACGACCGGCCGCCTGCCTGACATCAACCCTCTTTTGGGAATGCATTAATCAGTGATGTCTAAGTACTCTTAGAAAGTACATATGACTCGGAAAAATCCTTTGGTACTTGCCAGGATCGAACCCGCGCCCTCATGTATGAGGCCCCTTAACCAATAGGCCACCACTGACTTAACTTTATAACTACTTATATACCCACTTTATATCTTTTTTTCCAGTGTACGGAAATACCAATATTGGTTTATGGGACACTGTGAAAACTTAGACATAAATGTAAAAAATACCAACATAATTGTAATAAATAAAAATAAAATAAATAAATATCTCCTTATATACCCTCTTACTTTATATCTATTTCTTATATATCCACTTTATAATTACTTTTTAGATGCTCCAATAAGTGAAGAAATAAGTAACCAGTGCAATTTATTAAAATAATGTATAGATATTAAGTTGATAAATATATTTTAATATATATTATGTTTCCCAGGTTTGTCTACAAGTTTGTTTGTGATCTGCACCAACTTCTGGGTTACGGGGCTTCGGAGTTAGCTGAACTGGTTGATGAAGCTAGGGAAATGGAAACCAGGGGATAGAACTGTATACAACTGTATACGACTTGATAGGACTTGATACAACTGTATAAAGTTATATAGATTTGTATATGAATGTTAGAAGTTACATGATATTGTAAATTTTTATTGTGAATTATTAGTTTTCTCATATAATTGATATTTTTTTCATATTTTTACTTCATTCTAAACTGTAAGAAGATTTTATTGTTTCAACTAATCTATGTTACTTTAAATGTTTGTTTAAAAACAAATGTAAATTGTGAATATATGAAATAAAAATGTTTTTTGTATTAATAAAGTTTAATGAAATGTTTTTTTTATTTCTTTACACATTTATTTATTATTAAATTTCAATATATATAAATAACTAGTAAACTCGGCGAACTCCGTTTCGCCACCAGAAGGCTTTGTCTTATGTAACATTTCATTTGTTGATTAAAAGATGTCTTAATTTTTTTTGTTTTATATTTGAAAAGGAAATTTTTTATTTCATTTCACAACAGTATGTAATGAATTCATTTCGTATACAAAAATAAGGTGTTATTTAGTTGAACTTCTCTAAGTAATGAAAGTGAATCCAAAGTAGATACCGAATCGAAACGTGTCCGCAAGTTATCCGTTTCATTGAAGTGCTTTGTAAACCACATTTTTTGTTTTTTGGTCTAACTTTAACACAAATAAAGCGGATGGTTTCCCAACTCGTGAACACGCAAAGTATAACTACCCATGTGAAAAACAATGATATTTGAGAGTTCAAACTACAAACACAATACCGGTTTGTCACATGAAATTAACTGAGCAGAGAACAATGAGTAGCTACTAGCTGTACAATCGATCATGCACCGGCGCCATCTACTTAAAATATTGATTTGTAGTACATGTTAAGTATCAGAGATGGCGCTGTATGTGAAAAAGGATTTCCCCGCTTTTCTGTTTTAAATAATTTTTATTGAATTTTCAAAGTTATTAATATATTGCACAACGAAGGGAATATACTTATGACACTTTATTTTTGTGCTTATTACGTATTTAAATTAAAATACAAAATAAGTTATAATATATATTCGGTCTTTTAGAGAGTAATTGAAGTTTTTTAATTTTATTTAGCGCCTGCACAAATTTAAAAACAATGCCGTCAATAGCAACTATTACCCGCATTTATTTAATAAATTATTTAAATCTTAACGTAATTTATTGAATATTAACGTAAAAAATTAACTTAATAGAGCTAATATGAGAATAAAAATACAAGAAATGTACCGTAGCTACATACTTTCTAGAATATAATTCGTTTATAGAAAAATATTATGAAGAATAATCAAAATATTCACGTCAGAAAATATCAACTATTATTTTTCTGAGTTTACAAAAATTAAATATTGAAAAATAATACAGTTTTATTTGACTACCATTTGTAATGAGACAAAAATTAAATGAGATAGTTCTACTCGATTTTTCTGAAAACCTAATGTATTTTATTACTAGCTTTCCGCTCGCAGCTTCGCCCGTGTGGAGTTAAGTTACATTGCTTTTCCAAGAGAACCTTTCAAAAGTCTGGGAAAAAAACTATCCTATGTTCTTTCTCAAGGTCAACTCTATCTCTGTACCAAATTTCATTAAAATCAGTTCAATGGTATAGGCGTGAAAGCGTAAGAGACAGACAGAGTTACTTTCGCATTTATAATATTAAGTAGGGATATTTCTACAATTGACATGTGTGTCATTTTTTGACAGTGATTTTTTTATGCGACGGCTTCATTCGCACTGGAATCTTGGAATATTTATCCAATGTTAAATTGGTTTTTGGGCATGAAATTCTATGAAATCGTGATATGATTTTGAATATATTTTAATTAAAAGTTATTTATATCTAGGTACATACAATAACTATTTCGGTTAACACTACTGATTAGATACTATGAAAGTTTTATTACAATTAATTAAATTCCCCTTTATGGTAGGATGTAGGTATGTATTATATTTTTTAAAATCATAACAAAGATCTGTAAAATCGTTTGACACGAAAAACTATTTTCGTTAAACAATACAATAACGTATTTAATAACTATTTCTGTTTTAATAACACATTGAAATACAAAATGAATAGACAAATAGTTGTTCAGTTATTACCTATTGTTCAAAACAACTAACTATGTGTTGAATTATATATATACAGGGTGACTGGTGAATTACTATCAATATTTAAGGAGCAGACTCGGTACATGATTCTCATTCGAATTATGTAAAAAAAATAGGCACTTAATTTTTGACAAAATTTCCGTATAAATAAGTAAAGTGTTGACACGTTCCAAGTGTTCCAAGTGTGGACGCGTGCGGCGGCGTGCTGATACAACACTACGCCGCCGCCGCGTCTGTGTGAGTGTGTGTGTGTATACCTAATCTGTAGGCTGTTCATACGATGCGTAATTAATTACATAACTTTTGGTTAACTTTACTTAGAAGTTTATTAATATTTATGTCATATTAATTTTTATTTTGTCATATATGATCGTCAAATATCACGTATCGATAGTAATTCACCAGTCACCCTGTATATGTTTATTGAAGATATTTTTATTTTTCATATATTTATATAAGTAGATATATATATGATGCCATCATTGCAATATTTCGTTCAGAACCTTACAAATATTAGAAAATATATTTGTATCTGCTTTGCTTATATCTACATATTTGTGTTAATATATTTAAATTTAATTTCAAATTACTATTGAAATTTATACATGAAAGCGGGATGTGATTACATTTTTTTTGTTAAAAAGCCTAAAATTGAAACCGAATTACCACACAATCGACTATTGATAAGATAACTGTTAATTATCATTCCTTGTTTTAGTAGGTTTTTCAAAACTGAAACTACATTTTGTACTAATAACTATATTATTTCTTACATACTGTAACAGTGTACATATTTTTAACCTAATGCTATATATTTTTATATTCACACTTGCTATTCATGTAGGTCAAGTTCAAAAGTTAATATTATTTGTGATATGCAAAATTAAAAGAAATATATAAGTAAAGTTACACAAATCTAACACGGTTTTAGTTCATTAATAATTTTCGTTACGTTTTGTATGAAAAAACGCTAAAACTACTTAATTATTTGAACTAAAACTTGTGGTAATAATTAAATAAGTTAGTTTTTGAAACGCTACTTATAATATATTATCTATGTTTGTATTTTAAATGAGAATATTTCAGTTCTTTTTTAATGTAAATTAGTAAATGGGTGTAGAGAAATTTTTTAGATGTCTAATTAGTTCTTGAAACTACATAATTTCACTTTGTTTCAAGAAGGATACGATTTTTAGTAAGTGATGCTATTAGGATTTTTATACTTTCAATATTTTCGTGTGACGATAATATGTAATTACTTATTGTCTTCTTCTACCTGGCAATTTCCTAACTTTAGCCAGCGTCTGCCTTACATGTTGTGAATAGTTTTGGCTAATTATTTTTACGATCGGCCGCCTGCCTGACATCGACCCACTTTGAATGCATTAATCAGTGATGTCTAAATACTCTTAAAAATACATATGATTTGGAAAAATCACATTGGTACTTGCCCGGGCCAGGATCGAACCCGCGCCCTCGTGTATGATAGGCGGGCCTTTTAACCACTAGGCCACCACTGACTTTGTAATTACTTATTGTATACTTGAAAAATCCATTCCTGACCAATCATGTATTACTTTAAGTCTTTTTATATTTAATTTATATTTTCGATACAAATAAATTATAATTCAGTTCTTATTTAATGAGTTACTTAATTTTATCATGATAATATTATAAATGACGAATTTGCCAGTATGCCTGTCAGATTGTCTGTCATTCTTTTACGTACAAACTACTTTATAGATTATGTTGAAATTTAATAGTAAAGCTTGCATATCAGAGAAACATATATACTATAATTTGTCCTGGAATTGCCTGTATTTTTATCTAGATTAACGTGTGTATAAAGTCATGATATATAGATGTCACTTATCCTTTTTTTATGTCGCTGGGAAACTCTTTTTACGAGCCGTCCAACCGGCCTTGGTGGGGCCGGAAGGGATGTGTGAGACTCGGCCTGGGCAGGCCCCTACTCACTAAAACCACTGAAAGCCATCGGCCGCTATGTCGGTGTACCCCGGATCTATCAGCGACAGTTCACACCAGATATTGGCCGGTCCTGGCAAAAACCGGACTTACTCCCTCGTAGATAGATGTCGCTTATGCTTCGTTAATATAACACATAGTTTGATATATTCGGACACTATAAATTGCTCTTTGAGTCGCTAGAGTTAAAAACTAGTGGAGAATGTGTATTAAAACTTTCATTTAGTGTAGACTACTTAAAATAATAATAAATTTGTTTTGAGTTATAAATTCTAAGGGCTTAAAATATCATGCATGATTTCAGAATACAATTGTAATTTCAATTTCTTTGTCATACAATGAGTTTTATGTTACGACCGGATCTAAGGAAAAGAATGTGGTGAGCAATATATGGAATATCAGAAAGCCTGGGTTAATCCAGATGAGTAAAAATTAAAAGTTAAGGTTGAAGTAAAAAATATAATTCATTTAAATAAATGGGAAATTTATTTTTATCATATACAGGGTGACTGGTGAATTACTATCGATATTTGAGGACGTGATATTTGACGATCATATATGACAAAATAAAAATTAATATAACATAAATATTAATAAACTTCTAAGTAAAGTCAACCAAAAGTTGTGTAATTAATTACGCATCGTGTGAACACCCTACAGATTAGGTATACACACACACTCACACACACGCGGCGGGGGCGTGGTTTTGTATCAGCACGCCGCCGCACGCGTCCACACTAGGAACACTTGGAACGTGTCAACACTTTATTTATTTATACGGAAATTTGGTCAAAAATTAAGTACCTATTTTTTTTACATAATTCGAATGAGAATCATGTACCGAGTATGCTCCTTAAATATTGATAGTAATTCACCAGTCACCCTGTATACATATAAAATAACATTCCACAATACATATTGGCATTCGAAACAAAATATTATATAATATATATATAAACTGAAAACTTAGACACAGACGCCAATTATTTATTTATATAATTAGCCGACCGACGTTAAAAAAAGGTGTGTGTTAGTCAGTGATGGCCTAGTGGTTAAAAGTCCCCGTGCCGAGGCTGGTGCTGCCTTAATCGTGAGGCGCATTGATTTGCTCGGGCTGAGAGTGGGTCTCGGGAAAACCGAGGCCCTCCTGTTCCACCGCCCTCGAGCAGGACCTCCGACGGGCGCCTGCATCACCATCCGCGGCGTCCGCGTCGAGCTCAGTCCCCGGATGAAATATCTGGGGCTGACTCTGGACGGAAGGTGGAACTTCCGGGAGCACTTTCGCGGGTTAGTCCCGAAACTCCTCGGGACGGCGAACGCTCTCGGAAGGCTCCTGCCGAATCTCGGTGGTCCGAGCGTGGCGTGTCGGCGCCTGTACACTGGCGTGCTGCGCTCAATGGCGCTGTACGGAGCTCCGGTGTGGGCCGGTGCCCTCACAAGGCCGAACGTGGCTGCGCTGCACAGAGTGCAGCGCGTCATGGCGGTGAGGGTGGTACGGGGATACCGCACCGTCTCCCATGAGGCGGCTTGCGTGCTGGCTGGGACGCCTCCCTGGGAACTGGATGCCCAGGTTCTGTCGGAGGTGTACCACCAGCGCGCGCGAGTTCGATCCCGGGGTCCGAGTCCGGACCGGGATCGGGTGGAAGGTTGGCGGCGCTCCCTGATCGCCTTACTGCTTCGCCGGTGGAAGCGGAAACTCTCTGAGCCAGTGGCCGGGTTGCGAACCGTGGAGGCTATTCGCCCGCTCCTTAAAGAGTGGGTGGACCGCCGACACGGTTCCTTGACCTTCCGGCTGGTGCAGATCCTCTCGGGGCATGGTTGCTTCGGGAGGTATCTGTGCCACATAGTCGGGAGAGAGCCGACTGCGGCGTGTCACCATTGCAGTTGCATGGATGACACGGCCGATCACACCTTGGCGGAGTGCCCTGCGTGAGCTGTAGAGCGTCGCCAGCTCACCGCGGTGGTTGGCGCAGACCTATCGTTGCCGGCTGTGGTTCAGGCCATGGTCGGTAGCGAGAGGGCCTGGGAGGCGATGGTCAAGTTCTGCGAGCACGTGATGTCGCGGAAAGAGGCCGCAGAACGTGTACGGGAAGACGACCCCTCCTCGGCGCCCTTGCGTCGACGTAGACTGGGTCGAAGGCAGCGGGCATATGCCCGCGACCTGCCTCCCCAGTGAGGAGCCTCCGGGCGTCGGTGGGGAACCGGCGTCCGGGTAACATAGGCCTGAGTAAGAGCGGCGTGTTTGGCGTTCCCGGCACGCTGCTCTTGAGTCGGAGGGGTGGTGTGGTCTAGCCACTGATACCCCTGCCGTTGGCGGAGTCCCTTTCGGGACTTGTGCGTAGTGAGCGGAAGCATGGCTCGCCGTTCCCGCTCACTAGTCTACGCACTGCGCAGAGAACGCCGAGGAGTTTAGTGGGTGGAAATCCCACACGCCCCCGCCGTGTTTCCCCCGCGGCGGGAAGTCTTTGAAAGATTCTCCTCGTAAAAAAAAAAAAAAAAAAAAAAAGTGGTTAAAAGTCCCGCCTCTCATGCATGAAGGCACGGGTTCGAAACCTGCCAAGTACCAATCTGATTTTTTCGAGTTATATGTACTGTCTAAGAGTATTTAGACATCACTGATTAATGCATTCCCAAAGGGGGTTGATGTCTGGCAGGCGGCCGGTCTTATAAACAATTAGCCAAAACTATTTACAACATGTAAGGCAGACCCTGGCTATAGCTGGGAAATTGCCAGGTAGAAGAAGAAAAAAGAAGTGTGTGGATACATTTAAATAAAACAGTCTTATATCAAAGCTACATGTCTTATCAGTTAAAATTTATCTTATTTGAGTTAAATTTACGTAATGCATTATCTTAATCTTACGGCATTAGTTGAGATTGCTACATATTATACTAGCTATCGCCCGTTACTTCGCTTGGTTTAATTTAAATATTCGATAATTAATTTCAACTTAAAACACAAACATCTTAATACATTTTCGTATTTTAACGAAACAAACATTTTATAGTTTAATATAATTAGAGGGAATTTAATTAAGAAACTATGAATCTTTTCATGTTTTATCATCATCATCTGCCTATCAGAGCCCACTACTGAGCAAGGCCTCTTCTCACATGGAGAAGGTTAGAGCATTAATCACCACGCTCACTCAAGACGGATTGGAGATTTCAAACTTATAATTTGATATTATAAGACCAGGTTTTCTCATGATGTTTTCCTTCATGAGTCAGTGATGTCTAAATACTCTTATAAAGTACATATGACTCAGAACAATCACATTGGTACTCGCCAGGTTTCGAACCCGCGCCCTCATGCAAGAGAGGCGGGCCTTACCCTCTAGGCTACCGCGACCTTTCCATTTTTTCGACAATATAATTTTAAAGTAAGGAAATTTCATATTTTGTACATATATAGTTATGACATCTGGCTCTGTCTATTGAAAACGCTAGAACAAAAGCAAAATATATATGTATTAATTACTATTAATATACTTATTTGTGTCACAAAGAAATAGAGAAATAATTATGAATTTATATAAAATATTGTACATTTCCGTAAAAGTATTTCCTTTAACGGGAAATACAGGTTAAAAATGCACCTTTCCTTGTATTTTCATAGTAGACTTGTTGGAAGAAACTAACTTTATCTTAAGGACTTTAATATTATTAAAAAAATAATATTACAAATGATTTTTTGAAAACAACACTACAAATTCAATGTTATGAATTCAATTTAAACTTATTTTTGAATTTAATTTACAATTTAAGTAAATAAAATCTATAAGTAGAAAGAATATTGAACTTGCCGTCAGAAAAATGGCAAATTGTCACTCAATGTCGACAGTATATATTAACTTATAAAAGTATTATGTTTATATTTATATTCATAGTATAAAAGAAACAAAAGATGTAAAAATATTAAAGTATAATTCTTGTCTTAATTTCATTTTGTTACAATATATCATAATTATTATACTATGTTATGTTATATATATGAATAGAAAAGATATTTAAAATTACATATGTTTTGTAAAATTAACAAAATGAACACAATAATTATATGTACGAACGTCTCCATAGCATGCATTACGTTGCATCAAAATTTTAATTATACAAAAGCAAAATCTACTTCGGCATTATAAATACACTAGTTTTGTATATTAATTAAATTTATAATATTATGTTCTAATATATAATATGTTAAAATATCGATCAATGAAATGTATTACGTCTTTAGCTGTGATCACAAAACTTAGTCAGTTTGTGTTTGTACAGCTTCGTAGTTGGACGTGCATTCGCGTATTTATTTTGTGCCGGTGAGTCTTAAATAAAATACTAGCTCCCATTCCCGGTTTTGCATGTATATATAAGATTTTTATTATATTTTTAACTTTAATATATATATATTTTATGACAATAAGTATAATATTATTCTGGGCGGAGGAAGTGAAACAATTTTTGTAATTATTTACACTAGTTTTCGTGATTTTTCAATACAAATGAAAAAACCTCTTTATAGTATTACTCTATATATAAAACTATATGTTATTAAAAATATTTATTTTAATGTTTGTTTAAAAACAATGAACTATAAAATTTAATTTATATGATACATAAATACGATTGAAATAAGATAATAATTGTGATTATAAATTTAAAGAGACAATTTTTATATAAATCTTCTTCCTGGCAATTTCCCAGTTTTAGCCAGGGTCTGCCTTACATGCCGTGAATAGTATTTTGGCTAATTGTTTTTCCGACGGATCGCCTGCCTGACATCAACCCTCGTTTGGGAAATAAAACAATTTTTATATAAATAAAAATAAAAATGTACCTTACATATCAAGTTTATTTGATATACCTATAAGTAAATACTAAATCAAAAATATCCAAAAATTATGTTTTTATATTATATATTAGATTTGTCAAGAAAAAGATATAAATTTATACGCAATAATATATAAATGATAATTTTAACAAACAAATAAATAAATAAGTATTATTGGAATAAATGAAATAAAAAGAAAATTTATATGTAATCATTTGAATACAATAAAGTAATTGTAATTTTTTGATGCAGTTTTTCTAATTTTATAATGAACTTTATTAACTTATTTTACATATTTTATACAGTTAGATCTTAGTCCGACGATTACAGAGTTTTAAGTCATAACTCTAATCATGATAGTAAAAGTTGATTTGTAAACAACAGACTTTTAGTTTAACGTTTAAAACATGTATTAAGCGCCCGAAACATACTCCAAAATGATAGTTTTTTTTTTAATACTAGCTTTCCACCCGCAGCTTCGCCCGCGTGGAGTTCGGTTATATCGCGTTTCCAAGAGAACCTTTCAAAAGTCTGGGATAAAAACTATCCTATGTACTTTCTCAAGGTCAACTCTATCTCTGTACCATATTTCATTAAAATTAGTTCAGTGGTTGAGGCGTGAAAGCGTAACAGACAGACAGACAGAGTTACTTTCGCATTTATAATATTAGTAGGGATAACTTAGTTATTCTTTTATTATATTTATAACAAATGACCATTCTTATGATATATATTTATTATTATATTTACAATACAAGTTATGTCGTGACTAAATAACTAATACTGATGGTCTTTTCATTAATCTTACTTATATGTGTTTGTGTGGCTTTTAAAGTAAAATAACCTTGAAAACTTTGTCAGTAAATATAAATATATATAAAAAGCTGTGTTTTTTGTATTAATTTTACGTTTTTTAAAACTCTCAAACTCTAAACTGTCCGTACGTAGTAAGGACGCTAACTTGGCCTAAGGTTACAAGGTGTGGGAAAAATACGAAATCTTCTTTCCCAACTAAGATCCGTAGTGCAACTATTTATATAAAAACTAGAAGGCTACTAGAGAATGTAATGTTTCATTATTAATTTCCTGTTAAAGAAATCGTAATTATCATCTTAATTACAATAAACAATACATTTATTAAGAAATGTTAGGAAACATCACGTTTCTATGGCTGGAACGATTTTGATGATATAATTCCAACCCGCGGTTATGTTTGTATATTTTATAATTATTAATCGTATATTTTTCTCGTTGTTTATCTGAAACATATGTATGTCATATTAAATGAATTTTAATTTTTCTTTTCAATACATAATAATAATTTATTTTGCCATTATTGACAGTCAGAATTAAAAACTAATATATATTATACGTCTAAAGTTTGACTTATCGTAAAAAACAGATCAGTAATTAGAGTTTTATCATCCGGGGCTTAGCAAAAAATTTGAAAATATCACAACTTAACGTAATACACAATTATAAACAGAAAAAATGTACATTGATTGGTAAATTTACAAATATTTATTGTGTTTTAACTTAAAAAAACCTATTTATATTGTATTTTTAACATAAAAATAACTTATATATTTTTTTATGTATTAAGGTAAATATTTTTTGGAAGATTCTAGATTATTCAAGTGAAAGGATTAGGTATGGCATAATTATGAATTGCAACGCAGATTACAACACAAATTGAGAGATTTAGGCCATGTTGACTAAGGTGCACCTAAATCGTTATGTCTTATATTTATTAAATTACATATATATATATATATATATATATCTTAAGTATATATAACATAGGCAGACCCTGGCTAAAGCTGGGTTATTTCCAGGTAGAAAAAGATATATCTTAAGTATTAAATTATAATTGTGATTTATAATAATAATTCCAATAATGTTTATGGTTAAAAAAATATTAATTGCCAACAAGGATTTGGGATGACTAACTTGTTTATGTAAAATTTAGTCTTGAAATGACCTTTAGGTATCTATTTTTAGTATTTCGGTAACATAAATTTAAAGTAAAAATGTAGGTATGTCTAATTACAAAACCCAAACGGAAAAATTATTATTTTTTATGATAATAATAAAATTATCATACTTAAATTTTTTTCCTGCCCTGATCCCACTTTATGTAGGGTCGTCACAACATGTTCTTTTCCACAGAACATGTTGTGAATAGTTTTGGCTAATTATTTTTACGTCTACCACCTGCCTGACATCAACCCTCTTTGGGAATGTATTAATCAGTGATGTCTAAATACTCTTTTAAAGTACATATGACTCGGAAAAATCACATTGGTACTTGCCAGGATCGAACCCGCGCCCTCATGCATGAGAGGCGGGCCTTTTAACCACTAGGCCACCACTGACTTACTTAGATTATTACATATATTATATTTTTCTTGTTTTTTTATAATTCTAGTCACAGATATAGTAGTATGTCCGTCATGATCTATCTCATGATTAGTGAATATATGAATGTTGCTCGGAATATAATTTCGCAACAATTTAACAAAAATAATAATAACAAAATAAAGCGTTGAAAAATATCTGATAATTCATCTCGTCTTCATGATCACGGTTGCTGTAAAGGAACCGAAACGTCGAGATCATGTAGATATAGAATAAGGAACACGTAGTATACGAAAATAATAGTTTAAATTAAATATATGTGAAAAAGTCTTTGAAATCGTATACATTATTAAAAAATAATAAAGTTTTGTCTTTAAAATAAATAGTAAACCGTAGTTATTCTGTTTTTATTTCCTTTCTATCAATCAATGTCTTCTTAATAAAGCCTAACATAGACCAGCCTTCGTTATTTTTTATAAAGTGCTCTTACTATTAGTACGAGTTATCAGAACAAAAAAAAACGCAAGATTTCCAGTTAAATTTATACGACAACGGTATTGTTATGTAAGATTGATGTACGAAACTAGAAACGCCGAGTGTAAAGTATTAAGAAACTTCGACTAAGTGTAAAAATTAGTAAATATTTATTACTCGATGCTATATAGGGATAAAAAAAGAAAAAGTTAAACCATTCGTTTAGTTAGAAGTATAAAACTTGTAGTAATTTTCCGAAGGTGAGGATTTGAGAAAAGATTAATCACAATAAAAATTTGGCAACTTCAACCTCGCTATTGACCTTTCGCTCGAACAAACAGAAGGCTTTACAAATATCTCACCATAATTATTATAATGTGATTAAAACGTGATTGTTATTTGATGTCAATATTATAATTTACTCTTATAAATTAGGTATATCCCTACTAATATTATAAATACGAAAGTAACTCTGTCTATCTGTTATGCTTTCACGCCTAAACCACTGAACTGATTTTAATGAAATTTGGTACAGACATAGGGTTGATCTTGAGAAAGAACATAGGATATTTTTTATCTCAGACTTTTGAAAGGTTCTCTTGGAAACGCGATATAACCGAACTCCACGCGGGCCAAGCTGCTAGCGGAAAGGTAGTAGATTATAAATTAACTTATTTTTTGTTACAGAGATGGCGCTGTCAGAACAAACTGACGTTAAAGATTTCAAGATTGATGAAAAAATGGAAGAATCACAAATACAGAAGTCTTTCGCCGGTAGTACGATACTACTTACTGGAGGGACTGGTTTCCTTGGGAAACTACTAGTTGAAAAACTACTCAGGTTAGTAGAATAGATTAAAACTTAGATTACTACTTTGTTGTGATTTTTAAAAAAAATTCAGAGTAAAATTTATATTTAATTGAATAGTTTAAAAATTAAAATATATAACATGGAAAACGATTTAATTTTATTAAATATTAAATTTACAATGTTGTGAACAACATAATATGAAGTTGGTGACTCAGATTTGTGTTAAAGGCACTATTTTACAAACTACAAAAACGTATTGAAGTTGTTGTTTGCGGTAGATAGTTAAGATTAAAATGTTATAAATACTTTAAAGCTTACATAAACTACTTATAAATATCTCAATTTAATACGATAACCAAAAATTTAAATCGAATTTACATACGTATCAAAATTCTCATTAACAATTTGATTGCTAGCACTGTGTACACACTTTTTACGGCCCGTTTTTGTGTATTAACAGGTCCTAAGGATTGAATAACAATAATTAACTTAAATTAAACAAAACAAATGTATAATTATCATATAACGCCAGGTTCAAAGTTTACATTTCATTGTATATCAAAGCTCAGTAAGTTATCAAGGTTTATGATAATTATTTAGGAAATAACATTGAAATTGCGATTTAGGAAGTAATATATATACATGTGTGGCAAAATTTTGTCCCACGAACTGTTTTAATAACAAATAAAGCGATACAATTTGTTTTGCTAATTCAAGTTCACGTTATTTAATTCATTGCATATATAAAACTATATATATACTAGTTATTCTCGCGACTCCGTCTGAGTGAATATTAGACGCTATAGTAAGTTAAAACAATACATATAGTGAGCTATGTTAAAGACTTTTCCTGAATAACCTACATACAGTCAGCGCCATCTGCCGGTGTGATTAGTGAATCTAACCCATCTGGGGCGACATACAGATGTATGTAGAACTCATTCAAATAGATACAGACGTTTAGGAGTTCAGTGACATACACACGTAAAGACGAACTGTGTATATATACATATATAAATGAACTGCTGTTCGTTAGTCTCACTAAAACTCGAGAACGGATGAACAGATTTATCTTATCTTAGTCTTGAAATGTTTGTGGAGGTTCAGGGAAGGTTTAAAAGCTTAAAATAAAGTTTAATTATTAGTGAGAAAACCTTAAAAACAGCCCTTTTTTATTTCTCATACAAACGTTTTTTTTGTCATTAGATTTGACAACGAACTAATATGTCAATCATTCTGTTCGATTGAAACAGAAAAAATTTAATAAATACCAATACCTAGTTATTTAAGACCGAATAGAGTTCGCCCGGTCAGCTATACCTATATTACTAATGACGGAATTAAAGACGAAGTCGCGGGCAAAAACTAGTATATTATAATTATTAGAATCCAATGCTCAGTCGTACATATTTTTTCTTTATATATTTTATGTAAATGACTCATTATATAACGGTACATAATAAAATGTCCTTGTTGTTTACATTAGTGAAATTGTCTCAAGGTAAAAATATGTTGATTACAGAATTAAAATTAGGAGTCTTATAGATAAGAGTGAAACATTTTTAATAGCTTTGATCGTGAGAAATAGAGTTAATGTCTGTATTACTTTTTATTCAAACACTTGTGCTAGGTTATAAATATTCTAAATAGTAAGATATTTGTTTAAAATTTATAATATTTATAATGAGATCTAAGAATTTTTCGAGTTTTATTCATTTAAATGAAACTAAAAAACGCGTGGTAAATCCGAAAATATTAGTTCCATTTAAATGAGTACTCGCGAAAATCTTAGATCTCATTATGATTTTTATTCGTTTAAATATAACTAATATTTTTTTGATTACGCGGTTTATTTTTGTGAAAAAATTACATATTTCTCACGGGCAGACGTATTTGTAACACGATTTACGCATTACTATCAGTCTTCCAGTAACTTAATGGTTTAATTTTAGTTATATTTAATTAACTGTATATTAAATACTTACCATAAGTTTGCATAGATATACAAATTACCAATATTTTATTGTCTAACGTTCTTGATCTTAGATTTGATAGAAAACGTGGAAACTTTCCGTTTGTAGTAACGAAGCTTGTACTAAGATCTATGCTCATATTTTTTCGTATATGAAGTTTAATTATTCAATTATTTTGTACTGGTTTTTAAATATTATTTGATAGTATAGAATTCTTAAGCATTACACATATATAGATGCATATGCCTTTAATAATTGCATGTAAAAATATATAGTAAGATATAAAACAGAGTCATACTTATATGACCTTTAATATAGCCTTATTGTGTAAGAAAATACTCGAGGTAGTGACTATGTATGCGTAAGATATAAATCACTTATGTTACGTCGCGAAATAGTCTTATTCTACCTGGCAATTACCCAGCTATAGGCAGGGTCTGCCTTACATGGTTTAAATAGTTTTGGCTATTTGTTTTTACGTCTACCGCCTGCCTGTCATCAATCCTCTTTGTGAATGCATTAATCAGTGATATCTAAATACTCTTCGAAAGTACGTATGATTTGAAAAATCACATTGTTACTTGCCCGGGCCAGGATCGAATCCGCGCCTTCGCGCATGACAGGCTGACCTTTTAACCACTAGGCCACCACTGACTAAATCGTTTAAAATACATAGTTAAAAAAATACAACTATAGATAATAAATTAGATTATTTTCTTTTATTTTATAATTTAAGTGCCCATGAAGTAATGGAAGTTTTTCAATGACATCAGAGCTTTAAGATTTCGTTCGTAGTTTTACGTCATTTCTATGTTGTTTTGATTAAAGACGAAAAATATATCAATTGCAATGGTTTTTATATAAATTTGTATGCAAATTTAATTAATTTAATTTGTTACAAGAACTATAATGTTATGTTTTGAAATTATTATTATGCTCGTTTTTGTACTTTTAGTAATTATAAAAGAAAATGTTGTAGTTATGTATTAGCATAATATATAGTGAGTAGCAACATAATTATGTTTCATTTCAAAAATATATATGTATATATTTGTCACAATTTCATTGTTATTTTACAACTAGCTTTCCGCCCGCAGCTTCGCCCGCTTGGAGTTCGGTTATATCGCGTTTCAAATGGGATAAAAACTATTCTATGATCTTTCTCAAGGTCAACTCTATCTCTGTACCAAATTTCATTAAAATCAGTTTAGTGGTTTAGTCGTGAAAGCGTAACAGACAGACTGAGTTACTTTCGCATTTATAATATTAGTAGGATTTTTTTTTGTATTTTTCATTTTCTTGTTATATTAAATATATGGCGCTCCAAATACACTAATATCATATTAGTTATATGGGCATTAATCTGTAATTAATAAAATAAATCAATAGTTATTGATGAGAAAATTAATTATTATAAAACAAAATATATATTATTATATAGATATTTTGAAACCGGAGCAAAAATAATTAAAAATTGTAAACTTTATTATCAATCTTTAATATTTTTACAATCATACATTTTGGTTTTAGATATTAATATGTAAATTAAATTATTTCACGAAAATCTTTGTATATATATATAAAATATTTTCTTTTAATTAATTTAATTAATATATTTATAGAATGATATTTGAAATAGTGTTGGGAAACTCAAACTCTACTTCTGCTGGAAATAGACTAACTTGCTTACATTTTCCAGAAGTCAAAAGCTATATAGCGATCTCCTAAAAATGCAGGTGTAAATAAAAAAAACAGGAATATATAGAAATACTTGTACGTCATCAGCCTATCAGAGCCCACTGCTGAGCCTCTTCTCACATGGAGAAGGTTTGAGCATTAATCACCACGCTTGCTCAAGACGGGTTGGTGATTTCAAACTTATAATTGTGAAAATAAGTCCAGGTTTCCTCACAATGTTTTCCTTCATCAGTCAGTGGTGTCTAAATACTCTAAGTACATATGACTCCGAAAAATCACATTGGTACTTGCCAGGTTTGAACCCGCGCCCTCGCAACGAGAGGCGGGCCTCTAAGCACTAGGCCACCACTGACTAGTTGTACATAAGTTCTATTACAAACAGGTTTGCAAATTTTTTTCTCTGCCAGACGTCAAATGGAAAAATACTTCTGCAGCTTTCTGTGGAAAATTACTTCTGGGATTATGTTGTTCTAGGAACGTGATCAGCGCCGATTATGCATGCAAATTATGCTTCGGTATTTGTGTTTTATCCATAACTAGATTTCCGCCCGCAGCTTCGCCCGCGTGGTGTTCGGTTATATCGCGTTTCCAAGAGAACCTTTCAAAAGTCTGGGATAAAAACTGTCCTATGTTTTTCCTCAAGGTCAACTCTATATCTGTACCAAATTTAATTAAAATCAGTTCAGTGGTTTAGGCGTGAAAGCGTAACAGACAGACAGAGTTACTTTCGCATTTATAATATTAGTAGGGATAATATTATTTTATCTATATATGGGGTTTGGGATTAGATTTTTATAAAGGACTTTTTTTAAACCGAAAACAAAGACGTTATGTACGACGAGTATGTTTGTTTGTTGTATGTGTGTGTGTGTGTGTGTGTGTGTGTGTGTGTGTGTGTGTGTGTATGTATGTTACAGTCATTGGTATGTAACTGACCGTCAAGCTGGTAACTCCTTGGGATTCCCTCAACTCTAGGGAATTTCAGCTACAATAGACCGTCCTTGTATTATTTTAAAACTGATTATACTCAATTATTATTTTCGATCAAAACAGTTTTTTTTTTAGATTACTTTTGCGAATTTAGAAATACAGAAACAGGTTATCACTAATATTTAGCTAAAAAGAATTTATTGTCTTAAAATTGAAATAGTATCCTAAGTATGTGTTTCAAATCGTTTTACACGTACAATTGAAAGTTTAACATAGGTACATAAATTTTAACGAGTGATGGTTTATGAAGGAAACGCGAAACTATCTGTAACTATGTAGTTTATGATTAAATACTTATTATTTATCGAAATAAAATCCTTTACTATCAATTATTTATTTAAACATAATATAATTAATTAATAATTCATA